CCCCCCCCAATGCTCCTCGTCCCCTTGTAGGCCAACTGGCTGTCGAATCTGAGGTACAACGGGCTTTTTCGCTGCTTCCTCGCCAGGGCCGCCATCCCCTCTGACGCTGTTGTGTTGTGATCTTGTCCTCCTTCTCCTCCGGCTCCCTGCTCCTTGCATTCTCCGGCCCCAATGCAGAACCTTGATCTCCCTCTGGACAACGTCACCAAGGGCGTGGCCGCGGTCTTTGAAAACTCCGCCCGTGTACGCCTCCCATGCCCGTCGCTCCTCCCTTGCCGGCCTCCAGACCAACACTCACCCCCCCCCCCCGCACACAGGGCTTCTATCTGGTGGCCGAGCTGCACTCCGACGAGGGCAAGACTGATGGCACCTCGCCGGAGACCAGCAACGGCCTGGCCCTGGCCGGCTGCCTGCTCATCACCACGGAGTGGAGCGACTGGTGGAACGGTGTGTCAGCCCTCTCCCCCTCGGTGCCCATATTCCCCCCCCCCCCCCCCCCCCCCCCCCCCCCGCCGCGTATCTTAACCCGGCCACTGGCTGTAGGACCCTGACCCATGCTCCTCCGTCTGCATACGCTCCGCCCCCCTCCCCCCCTCTCCCATCCCCCTCCCCCCTCCACAAAACCCTTCCAGCCGAGTACTGGTGGATCCAGAGCACTTTTGTGCTGCCTCAGTTCCGCGGCCAGCGGGTACGCACTCCCACCCGCCCACTTAGCACTCGGTTGATCCCCCTCTCTCACTCTCCCCCCTACTTCGCCCCTGCCCGACCACACATATACACACACATACACACACACACGCGCGCGCGCGCGCACTTGCCCCGGCTCGCCCGGTTCCACACGCGCCAGATCTTCACCTCCCTCTACGAGCACCTGACCGGCCTGGCGCGCACGCTGAACACCACCCCCGGCGCCGAAGATGGCGAGACGCGCCTCCGGGTGTCCGAGATTCGCCTGTATGTGGAGAAGCAGAATGACGCCCGGTTTGTCTACGACCGCCTGGGCTTCCAGGACAGCGGCTACCTCATGATGAGCCTCAGCCTGCGCGACTGAGGGGCGCCCTCGAGCAGCCGCGGCTCATTCATTGGCACCTGACGAATATACCCACGCACCAGACCCAACACTCCCGCCGGAGGGGCGCATGTCCCGCGCGACCGTTGGGCCTGCGCCCGCGCACTCGGTGTGTCACACCTGGGCCGAGATCGGGGCCGTTTTGCTTGCGCGGGGACTTCCCGCCGGGAGAGCAGCGACTGGGAGGACGTGCGCGTATGTGGGAGGGGGGGCGGGGGGACGGGGGGGCGGGGGACGGGACGGCGGAAGGCCGAAGAGGGGGCGGGGGATGGCCGGACGACAACCCCCAACGATGGCCCCTGTACGCGCGGGACCGCACCCCCACATTGTCCCGCGTACATGTCCAGCGTTTAATGATGGCCCGCACATTCTTGTCGTCGCCGGGGGGAGGGGGGGGGGGCGTCAGCCTGGCGGGGCACGCCGTGAATACGAAAATGGCCG